TGGCCGGTGGATCAATGAATCAATCGATCGATCGATGGTTGGTGATGGATGGATGGATGGATGGATGAATGATGGATGGATGGATGGATGGATGGATGGATGGACGCACGAACGGACAAAAACGAAAACGGACGGACAGATGGATGGCTGGATGTATGGATAGATACGATGGACGGACGGACGGACGGACGTATACGGACGGATTAAGAATAGATGAATAGGTGAATGGATGGCTGGGTGACAGATAGCAGGGGCAGATAACAGACATACATACATACATACATACATACATACGACAGACAGACAGACAGACAGACAGACAGACAACGACAGACAGAACAGACACCGGTCTGTTAGACTTCATAAATTCCTTTCGTCCAGTTTCGCAACCCATCCGCTATGCTCAGCTGTAACATGGTATTCGTCTATGCGTTAGGCTTCACCTAACTACTCTCTCGTGGTTTCATTACAGCAAACATCATCGTTTATCACTGTGGGCCACGTGCAATCACTACGCAGTCATGCATATGGAACTTCCAAGGGAACGCAGAGAATCATTAAAGACCCTGACAAGAATAGCTGGAGTGTGGCAATGCGTTTTGCCTGTAGCGCGACACTCGCGATGATATTTAACGGCGTTAATCAGGCTATGATAAGATTAGTATTTTATTTCACTATTTATATTATCATTAGTAGTGTAACATTACACTAGACGCAATTTCATTTGCGAAGCCAGGAAAAAGACGGTGGAAACAACAGACTCACGGTCAAAGAGTTTGATTGTGCAATAAGACATACAGACAAGTATTCATACATCGATGGAACAAGTGGTTGAACATAACATGATATGAACATAAATTATTTTATTCATAAAGTACGTATTAATACTTTATAATTATTTATTACTTACATCATGATTATTTATTAACAACAGATTTACAGAATTACATATTACATAATAAAATATTACTAAACTGGATACATCCATAGCCAAAAAAACCAACTGCTCGTTTTGTAATAATTATGTACACTCTCATAATGGCTCATTGCGCAGAATATAAATTGCGGACTGATGATAAGAAGGAGACATTAATCGCAGGAAAAGGAAATGGCAGAAGTGAATATTCATCTATCATGCCACGTCACGCATATTATGTGCGGATTAATGAGTAGTGATAACCTTCACTTCTCCTCCCACACACACGCACACAGCACGCACACACACACGCACACACACACACGCACGCACGAACGCACACGGCACGCACGCACACACACACACACACGCACGCACGCACACGCACACACGAACGCACACGGCACGCACACACACACACGCGCACGCACGAACGCACACGGCACGCACACACACACACGCACGCACGCACGCACGCGCACACACTCACACACGCACGTACGCACGCACACGGCACCCACACGGCACGTACGCACATACGCACGTAGCCACACGAGCACACACACGCACGCAGCGGCACGTACACGGAACGCACCCGGCACGCACGCGCACACACGCACACACGCACGTACGCACGCACACGGCACGCACGCGCACACACTTACACACGCATGCACGCACACGGCACGCACACGCACACACGCACACGGCACCCACACGGCACGCACGCACACACGCACGCATGCGCACACACGCACGTACGCACGCACACGGCACCCACACGGCACGCACGCACATACGCACGTAGCCACACAAGCACACGCACGCACGCACGCGGCACGCACACGGCACGCGCGCACATACGCACATACGCACGTAGCCACACGAACACACACACGCACGCACGCACACGGCACGCACGCACATACGCACGTAGCCACACGAGCACACACGCGCACTCACGCACACGGCACGCACACGGCACACACGCACATACGCACGCAGCCACACGAGCACATACACGCACTACCACCAGCACACATTCTTGTAGCCCCGGTTCCACGGCCCAAGCAGACGTCATTGCTTGGCGGAACTCCTTTAGCACGCAGCAGCGTGTTCTACCTGTCCTTCATGACGGTGGCGCCTCTGTAGGAGCGGCAGTACTGCTCGTAGAGGGCTGTTGTGCCGCGAGAGGGCACCTGCGCTCCCGTCTTGCCGCGCGCCACGTAGATGCGGTAGATGTCACGTGCCTGTCGGTTTACCGTCGGTGGCGTCACGTGGCGAGAACTGTCCAATGAGAACGCGCTTTTCCTGATTCTGCGGAGACAACGCGACAATAGCACACACCCGCCGTACGAAAAAGGGAACTTTTAGTGAGAAGTATTCATTAGATCAGTGGTTCTTTTTAACTGCTAGATTCCAAAATTCAGCAGAGGTTCTTGAATTGCGACCAGAAAAACTAGTGTGCCAAGTAATTTTTTGTGAGTTTGTCTAAGCTCTCCCGTCATTGTCACGCCACACGGCCAGAATTTGAGCCGCAGCCAAGACATGCTAGAAATCTCCGCATTACACATTCGAGCACTTGATTCGTTATTAATTGGCGTAAAGATTGTGAGTGAGCGGCCCATCAGAGGTCCACGCAGGAAGCACCGCAGTGTGAAATATACTGCCTGCGAATAAAATCAATGCGCTGATTTCCAGCGTATATCATCCATTAACAATGTAATGAACCGAGCATGGAAAGTGCACTGCAGTCACGCAATTATGCACGCACATATACACGGACCTACGACGATGAAAACGATGACGCCGACAACAATAACAGCAGCGGCAGCAACAACAACAGCAACTACAACAACTACAACAACAACGACGACAACAACCACAGCAACAAGAACAACAGCAACAACTACTACAACAACAACATCAACAGCAAAGGCAGCAACAACTACAACTACAACAACAACAGCAGCAACAGCAGCAACAGCAACAACAACAACAACAACACCCCCACCACCACCACCAACAACAACAACAACAACAACAGCAGCAACAACAACAACAACAACAACGTACCACGGCGCATAAATCTCTCACATGATGATCGACGACTGCGGTAACAACGGAAGTTACGAAGGAACGACCGTAAGTCGGCAACACATTCGATATCGCCACCACGACATTTGCCAGAGCAGTAGATGAATAAATGAAATTCGAGAAGCTGCCACTTCTACTTTCGTGCTCGGTGCACTCATCGACTATGTTCTTAATCATCGCGAGCGACGCCTACAGAGGAAGAAGAGGAGGAAGAGGAGGAGGAGGTGATGGAGGAGGAGGGGAGGAGGAGGCATAGAAACCGTAGAAGAGGGAGAGGGCGGGGAGGACGAGGAGGGGCAGGAGGAAAAGTAGGAGGACGAAGAGGAGGTGAAGGAGGAGGAGGAGGAGATGGAGGAGGAGGCGTAGAAACAGTAGAAGAGAGAAAGGGCGGGGAGGACGAGGAGGGGCAGAAGGAAAAGTGGAAGGTGAAAGAAAAGGAGGAGGAGGAAGAGGAGGAGGAGGAGGAGGCGTAGAAATAGTAGATGGAAAGGGCGGGGAGGACGAGGACTGGCAAGAGAAAAAGTAGGAGGAGGCGTAGGAAGAGCAGGAGGAAGATGAGCCGGAGTAAGAGGAACAGGAGGCACAGGAGGAGAAACAGGAGGAAGATGAGCAGGATGAGCAAGAATAGGAGGTGGAGGCGAAGGAGGAGAGCAGAAGGAAGAGGGGATGAGGAGAGAAAACAGGAGGAGAAGGAGAAGGAGAAGGAAAAGCTGGAGGAAGAGGCGGAGGAGGAGGAAGAGGAGGAAGAAGAGGAAGAAGAGGAGAAGAAGGGGGCACAGCAAGAGGATGCTCAAGGTAAAGCTACCCTAAAAAAATCACTGGTATTTTCACGTTTTCCCGCCGACGACGACGCCGGCGCCGTTACGCCGAGAACCCTGGAGATACCCGATAATCCAGCAATGAAATAAAGGAGACACAGAGAAAAATCACAGCCTCCGGGGAGGACAGAAATTATGCGCCATCGAGCGATGAGGAGGCTTATGACTACAGCTGCGATTCCTGCCCGTCATTTTAATCGCAGGCATAATCAGTATGTCAAGCGAGAAATGAGTCCTCGTTATCTGACTCGAGCACTGAACCAGGCATAACGTTATCGTACCTTACCGCCTTACTTGACGCGAACTCGACAACGAGCGAACGAGCAATCTTAAATTAGGTTTTGGACTAAATACATTAAACCGGCATTATGGCGAACTATTAGTTTTGATTACTCATTTGCATATTCAAGAGGCAGGCTGTGCCAGCCTCGCTCACGGCTAATGCAATTAACGCTCAGGAACGTCTGCTGCATGCGGCTAGTGGTTCTGAATAAGTATTCAATGAGCGCGCGCACTCACTCGTTCAGATTTCAATTTTCCAGACTCCAATTGTCAATTATGGAAATCAAGGTTCCTGCTGTGATTTAATCTCGTACGCATGAAAAAATGTTTTTGATTACCAGAAATGAAAATCAGCTGCCTATTTCCTAGAATTAACGCCCTCTGGGGGAGAATAACGTCTCGAGATTCCCACGTCAGTCTCAAACCACCGCGTAAAACCGGACTGCGAATTTCAGGTGTTCACGGCAAGCTGCGAATTAACACCGCATCATGGTGGCGTTGCGATAGAGATGAAGACGCCATTTGCATAACTATGGTAGCAGGCATCATCTAGTCTACCTTCTGGATTCGCGTTCAACATCGAATTCCGAAAAAAAATCCCGAAACAGACTCACTCGATCCTCTCGCAAAATAATCGTTCCAAAATTTCACTTAATTGATAGATAAAAGCACTGTGTCGCCGTGCGAAAAATGCTACACGGACATAATTAAGTGACTTCCGAGTAATGAAGCACCACTTCAACTGGCAGATAAACACACAACCTGACAATCGTAAGAGTACTTGCTCATATATCGATCGCGTGATATTTATGTTTGTACACACTGTCACAGACACAAATGTGCAGATGCGCATACACAGCCTAACACACACGCGCGCACGCGCGCACGCACACACACACGCATGCACACACATGCACGCGCTCTCGCTCGCAGTAAGAAATTCAAATTCATTTTTATTGCAGATATCGCGTCGCGGGCATGCGAAGCAGCTATCCTCACTACACACTACGCACACTGCCTTGTCAACAGATATTCAATTCATCGATCCGTCAAGACGGTCAGGTCCGTGAGCATGCGACCACCGTGGTTGTGACATATGCACGAGCCTGCCGCATTAATTATCGATCCTGTAATTCTGCAGCAATCAAAAGCTAATATTGTTTGTCAGGCAGCCGGGCAAACACGCGCGCGCGTGGGCGATAATAAGTCGGTTAAATTAGCGAGCAGATTTACACCACGCCATGACATGTGAGACGTCGCGTGATTGCTCAATCGCCGTTGGTCGCGAAACAACAGCAGTCAACAAGAGTGAAAACCTCATTGCTCCATGCAGGCTCAACATTCTAGTTTGATGCCCATGCGAGCATGCCACGCTATTCCAATCCAGTTTAGGAGGCACGGAGAATTCTATATACACACATCGCTCGGTTTTGCATACTTCTCATCCCAAAAATAATTCAGTCAGGGTGTCTTTAGATAGGGCAAGAGATTTTCTTTAACTCTGTCTCTGTGCATCGGCAATGATGAAGACGTGATACTCTCAGAGCGGGTTTACCAACTGACAGGCAGACTCGGACAGACTAGCAAACCCCGATCTGCAAAGGGCTGACCGAATCTTTTAGCATCTTAAAGAATACTTACAGTGTTGTCACCTTGCTCTGTGCATTTCTTGATTCTTGGCTCAGTTGCTCTCCCTCCTTGACTGCGGGCTGACAGGCGTTGTCACCAATACCGACGTACCTAACGGAAAACGTGAATTGCAATTGAGAAATATACTTACTAGAGAAAGACGATCCGATTTACCTAGATTTTCGTTTTTGATTACGTACGTACGTTTTGGGAGAAGCAGGCGAAGAGAAATAACACAAGATCATTGTATCTTAAAAAGCGTTATTAGCCACCTAGTGAAACCTCATCTGCTAGGCTGCCCTTAATGGGCATCACCATGACCAGATGCACGCAGAAAAGCTTTATTTCTCGAGCAATCACTTTGACAGTGTACACGCACTTTGCTACAGCATAACAACCAGGACTAACTCTGATTACCCGAGTGTTATTGCCTCACCTTTTGTATAGTGATATGTCCACCTTTTCCGGGTTTTTGATTTCCACTCCATAGCGGGATTTCATTGATGTAAAGTGGTCCTAACATAGCAGAGATTGATCGCAGTTTTACTAGCATAGTTCTAGCAAGCACAATTAAAAAGCACGTAGCTAACACACAGCGAATTCATATATACCAGCAAAATGCTTTCACTGCTGACAAACAATTGTTTCACATAATTAAAACTTTAGTTTCATGACAATTCGAAAAATAATTTAAATAAACATGCCATGTGTGCGCGTGCGTGCGTGCGTGCGTGCGTGCGTGCGTGCGTGCGTGTGTATGTATATATGTAAACTAAATATGCTGAATATCTGTTAGGTATGGTGTACGGTTTGCCAAATTAGTCAAACCATATGTCGGTTTACAAACACACACCATATTTCCGCCAACCATACACATTGTAACGCCACCAACCGACTAAATTGACAAACCGTACACCATAGTTAGGTAGTATTTGCGTAGTAATCACAATATACGGTGATGTAAGGTTCACTTCAGCTTATGCAGTAATTATCAAAATAATATAGGAACCAATATAAAATTTCTAGCACGAATCAATTACAGCATTTTTATGTTATTATGACAAGTGAAAGGAATTCCAGTTTACGCTTATTTTTGTTGCTATGGTAACCCATCTCAGACACAGATCGGATATGACAGGTACACACGTGTACCCAACCCCGTGTACAGTCATTACTGCTAGCTGTGTGAACATAATTATTCTCACGTTGTTTCTTGCTAGTACTTTTGCAATTCGATAAGAATATCATCCAGAACTTGGATAATAATACACACAACTACAGTTAGATGATCAGAGGAGAGTGCATGTAGTAATAAAACTAGCCCAGTAGGGGCTTGTATAGTGTTTTCGGTTGATCTATCAGGGAATGTTATGAAAGCTATCTGAGATCTGCCCCCAGTCATTGACATTTAACCCTCTAACTCCGTGATCGGACTTAGCGCAAGTTGTCTTAACACGAACACACAACAGAAATATAGTAGAGACATTGTAGCACCTTCTCTTCTTTATATATCGCAATGCTCACAAACGCGCTTTCAACGCGTGCACTTACGCACAAACTCCTTTCATCAGGGGTGAATCATGACAGATTTATTTATCATCAATTATCATTTCTTATTCAATTATCAATTATTATTTATTAATCATATATTTATCATTATTTATTAATCATTTATTTATCATTATTCATCAAAATTATTTGTCATTATTCACCCCTGCTATCATCATTGAACTAGTAATCCCTCCAACCGGGAAGCTCAGACATGCTGATAGAGAAGCCCAACTGAACGGCCTCTGTACCGAACGCATCGCGCCTACCTTGAACGAGAAGTAATTGGACGACGCGCAGTCCTGCTGTATGGTCAGATTCAGCCAATCCTGCTCCTCCTCGTCGCTGCACGTCGACGTCTCGTCGCTGCTCGTCGCCGTGTCGGACGAGTTCGACGCCGTCGACGACGTTACCACGGTGACCTTGCCCGAACTGCTGCGAAACGAACAAACAATGGATTAACGCGAGGCTAGCACGTCGGTGACGTCACCACGGTGACCTTGCCCGAACTGCTGCGAAACGAACAAACAATGGATTAACGCGAGGCTAGCACGTCGGTGACGTCCCACTGGCTGACCTTGCCGCGAACTGCTGCGAATACGAACAAACAATGGAGTTATCACGAGGGTAGCGCGTCGACGACGTCCCCACGGTGACCTTGCCCGAACTGCTGTGAAACGAACAAACAATGGAGTTATCACGAGGCTAGCGCGTTCGACGACGTCCCCATGGTGGACCTTGCCCGAACCTGCCTGTTGAAACGAACAAAACAAATGGAGTTATCACGAGGCTACGCGCGTCGACGACGTCCCCATGGTGACCTCCTGCCGAACTGCTGTGACCGAACAAACAATGGAGCTTATCACGAGGCTAGCGCCCGTCGACGAGCGTCCCCATGGTGACCTGCCCGTAACTGCTGTGAAACGAACAAACAATGGAGTTATCGCGAGGCTAGCGCGTCAGTGACGTCACGGTGGAAGGAGACCTTGTCCAAACTGCTATGATGGTGACCGACGCGCAGTCGACTCGTGGAACCCACAACCGTAGTCTCTCTCCTCTCGTCTCTCATCTCTCTGTGTCTCTTTTCTCTCTCTCTCTCTCTCTCTCTCTCTCTCTCTCTCTCTCTCTCTCTCTCTCTCTCTCGCTCTCTCTCTCGCTCTGTGTCTCTTTTCTCTCTCTCTCGCTCTCTCCTATCTCTCTCTCACCACTTTTTTTTCTCTCTATCACCTAATCTATTGGCTGGACACGCCCCTTGAACGATTCATCACGTGACTATAGCACTCCTCTGCTATACCCCCGCCCTCTGGGATAAAACCCGTCCTCCCCGTATCACAACCTCTCCCCTGGCACGCTCAGAGCCCCAAACATATAGGGAATTCTACCAATACGTGGGAACCCCCTTCCACTGGGTGGTGGCATGGTCACCTAGCTCAATAATAAACCCCGTGCATCGTGCTGAAATATCCCCGATTGAGTCAACATATGGCAGCGCAAACATGGCACCATCGCTACACATGGAAAGAACCATCAGTGTTCGTTTTGCTGGATAGCTGACAATGAATAAGTAGGTGGTTTTCAGCGTGAGTAGCCGAGTAGGCAAGAGAACTTGGACAAGTCTGGATCTAACAAGGCGACTACTCGCGTCATCGACGATTTGCTTTTTACTACAACATTAACAATCTTTTGTGTATTCTCACAACATGACTCACGGATTACCATATAAATACTCATGAATATAGATTGCATCAAACTTATTAACCGAGTTTAATTGTTAAATAAAAGATCGATTATGACATCTAGAATAACTTAAAATAGCAACATCGAAATCTTATGAATTAATAACGTGATGATAACAGAAAAAGTACTTGCTATTCAGAAACTGCATGAGCTATTCATGTAAATGAATTTTCTAAATCCAGGATAAATGTGAGATCGTTGAATGGTACGTATGCATCCACATTCATGGAGAAATAACTAGCTTTATATACTATGTTAACTTTAGCAATTACATATTGAAAAATCAACAATGTAGGCATGCATGACGCATTCACTAAATTAATAACTTATATAGCTTATACATTTTATAACAGTAATAATCGGGACGGTACGTAACCACAAATAATTAATCAAGATTTTATTACTATTTAGAAAGTACACTAGATTACAATAATCCCAATACGTGTACTACTAGAGAAGAAAAATCCAGCCAATCTATACTACTATATAGGCACATAATTGCTATCTATACGTGAACTATAAATCTCAGTCTGAGCACTGTGTGTACTTTTGTTTGTGTGTTTCTTCCACTGTCTCAACCTAGCCTTTTTAACCAGCCTTACGTAAGCAACATTTGCGTGTGCACGATCATCTGACAGTATACTACATCATATACACTACAGCAGAAGTGTCAATTACCTGGTATCCCGGAGTCTGGAGTCTCGCTGAGCAAAGGGGCTGTAGTTCTCTCTCACTGCCGTACTGGGAACACTCTCACTGCAGTAAAGACATCGCATTGCATCACTGACATTGCATCAACAATGTTCACTTGTTCGGATGTCTTAAAGTAAGGATGTGGAAGTTGAGAATTTCCCACTGATAACACCAGTAGCTGTGCGGTACTTTTCACAAACGTTGCTAAAACGTAATTATATGCGAATCAAATGCTTTTTTTAGCTCTGCGTGCGTGCGAGCATGCGTGTGTGCGTGGGTGAATATATACAATATACTCACAGAACTAAACTTGGCAATTTTGAAGTACTGTAATTATTTAGCAAAATATTGTACATTTCTGAAAACATGAATAAACAGTGTGGGAGCCCCAGTTTGTGTTTATGTGTGGGACAGTTGGTGTCGTTGCTGTTCAGAAGCATATTGCTGTGCTGCCAGTATTTGTTAACAGTTAAGTATGGCTGCAGAGAAATACTTGGGGAAAAACTGAAGAGCAGAGAAGCAAAATAATGCCTCGACTCTCTAGGCCTTGATAATTTTCAACTTTTCTGGTAAGTCCTAGATTAATTGTTGTGGAGCTCCAGCTTTGAAGTCAATTTGTGTAAGACTGGGCGAACGAGAGAGGCTCAGTAAATGATTAGGAAGAGACGTAGGCAACGTGGTAGAACAGCGCAAATAATCGCTGGCAGCAAATATGTCTCGTTACGTTCTCTACACATCTATCACTGACTACATATCCGTCACTATATGCTAACAATATGCATTCAATATTCTTCGTATCTCGTTCGTGTTGCAAACGTTTGCATGTTTTAACTGATGAAGTAGAAATTAAAATCGGCCAGAGGCAAAGCGTAGAAGGTATTCGGTTGGTTATGACAATAGTGCTTACAATGAGCCTTTGAAATATGCTGCATGTGCAAGTTGATATAGAAATGTATTTGCATGTCATCGATTACATCGGGTATTGTAATGGTTTGTATGCGTTGTAATCGTCTGATCACGTGATGTTTTGTAGATACATATATCATCATGTCTTGTAATGTCATACGTATATAAAGTTGTCTAATCGTAATGTGTTGCTTAGTATTATAATGTCTTGTCATGTCATGTATTGTAATGTAATAATTATATCGTCGTGTATTGTACGTAGTATAACGTCGTGTACGTGAGGGATTGTGTGTGCTGTAATCGTCGGATCACGTCAAGTATTGTAAATAACATTCAACATCGTGTTTTGGAAAGCAATATGTACTGTAAATATAGTGTATGGCTGACTCGATGACCGCAAGGTCCTTTCGCCATACCCGTGCTTTATATTAACAAAGTTATAACTGTTTAATTTTCCCACCGTTAGATTATCCTCGTTTAGCACAAATAAAAATCTTGAAATCTTGAATCTTGAAATCTTGAGCGTATTAAGAAGGAGAGCGTACAACGGTAAAATGCTGAAACCATGGTGCAGTATTAGTCGAATTAAGAAACTTTGCCCGTTTTATTTTGACGATTCGATGCGGTAGTATTGATCAGCTGTCCTACCTTACTAATATAAAACAAACCGCTTGTCCCTACGATGCTCCTACGCTGAGATAATGAGCGGTGAAAATCTGGTATTTTTGCTAAAAACCGACTCGAGATCCCTGTTAGCTGCGACCCTCTCTCGTTTTGTGGCCAGTATGTTGCTTCCGGTCGCCGCTGTGTAGCGCCATGGTAGCGCTGACTCATTACGACAGTAACGTCAGTACATATATTACTACATCCAGCGTGAGGTGGGCACAGGTGGGGGTCATCACTATGGCAATCAATAACAGACGTCATTCATTCCATTTGTCAATCATCAACACGCGAGGTTTCTCGAAGCTATCTCAAAGTGAGAGAATGTCGCAGCTAACAGGGATCTCGAGTCGGTTTTCGGCAAAAATACCAGATTTTCACCGCTCATTATCTCAGCGTAGGAGCATCGTAAAGACAAGCGGTTTGTTTTATATTAGTACTAGCGGGATACCCGGCGTTGCCCGGAGAAATCAGTGGCGTTACTCAGTTGGTGACCGCTTGGTTGAAAGGAAAATACCCCAAAAAATCTAACTGTCTATCTATGCATGCATCCATCCATGCATGCATCCATCCATCCATCCCATTCCGTGCCATCCCATCCCATCCCATAGCACCGCATCCCATCCCATCCCATCCCATCTCATCGCATCCCATGCCATGCCATGCCATGCATGCCATGCCATCCATGCCATCCATCCCATCCCATCCATGCCATGCCATCCCGTCCCATCCCATCCCATCCCATCCCATCCATCCCATCCCATCCTATCCCATCCCATCCCATGCCATCACATGACATGCCATGCCCATCCCATGCCATCGCATGCCATCCATCCATCCCATCCCTCCCAAACAGTAAAAAATAATAAGAAATCAAAAGATAAAAGACATTAAAATAACAAAGTAAAAAATTAAAAATGATAAAATAAAATAATATAAAAAATATCATATTTGATCTGTAACCTTACATAGGCTTCCATGAAGTGTTCCGTCAGTTTGCGCTATTATTAAACTTCTACCATTAGTTTATTCTGGATTTTTACATAAACGTTTAAAATTGTAGGTAAAAAATTAACGGTGAGCTGGCAGAAGTACATACTAAACAGTCCAAATGTAACGAAACAGCATTTCCGAGGTGGGATTCGGTCTGATGTTTTATCCATTCGGCTACTGGGGCTTATGGTTACAGAGCATTTGATTGACACGTTCGAGATTTAGGCTGTAAGCGCGCCCATCTATTGGACGAATAGAATTTTTGGTTTGCTTTAACTTTTAACTTTTTACAATTTTGTTTCAGCCAGAACCATCTTCCAGACGTGCTGATTCTGAAAATATCTTTGGTTGTTTCCTCTAGGCTGCGGAGTTCTCTAGTTATGCGAAGTACGAACTCAATTCAGGCTTAAACAACGTATATAATACTAGCAGAAAGTATACCCGCTAGAACCAGGCATATGTTGTCTTTATTTTTAAATAAAAAACTCCATGTAAGTGACACGATAAAGTTAAATATTTCAATTGTAAACTGAAAAGAAAACCACTGCACTGGGTACAACAGAACACTGCGAACAGCTACTGCGCCACTGACTACTGTGTCCAGTACGGTGTACGTCAAAGCAGAGTGAGCAGGCGGAATCTGCCAGTAGGGGGCGGGGGGATCTGAGACGTAGCACCATCTATTGAGGAATAGATTTTTGTTTGAGCCAGAACCATCTCCCAGACGTGGTGATTCTGAATATGCTCATACGGCGGCAGTCAAGAGACGCAGTGTAATTCCCACGTATGCGATGTGGATCTGCTGTACGCACTGCCATCTATTGACGAATAGCATTTTTTCGAATTTTTGAATTAATACTTAATACTTAATTTTTTTTAATTTTTGTCTCAGCCAGAACCATCTCCCAGACGTGGTGATTCTGAATATATCTTCAGTTAGCGCGATTGAGTGACAAATCAGGGCGAAAAGCGAGGACAAACAAACACACACACACACACACACAAGATTAGCCAAATTATAGTATAGATAAAAGGTAGGACAGCTGATCAATACTACCGCAAAGAATCGTCAAAATTAAACGGGCAGTTTTTTAATTCGACTAATACTGCAACATGGTTTCATCATTTCACCGTTGTACGCTCTCCTTCTTAATACGCTCTTGATGTCATCAATGTAAGAGTATTATTCCATGGGCTCGGGCTTTCTATCTATTTCAATAACATTTTATTTTAGGATTTACTGTAAAACTGTGAGATTTAACACTCAACAAAGGTACAGTCTTTACTAACTTGCCATTTCTTGAAAGTGAACAAATGTAAGCTTAGCTCGTGTCACAATATCAGGAGTGTATAATACAGAAACTATACAGTCTATATATTATACACTCCTGATAATAGCACTGACATGCTAATCTTTGCATATTATTAAAAAATTAATTTCATATTCCTGTTTAATATAGTAATAATCATGCAAAAAACATCTTGCTTGGTCCATTAGGTTATATGACTATGACCCTGTGACCCTACATATAACATATAGTTCATGAACTTTTTCTTTATATTATTAAATGAAATACACAGAGGACGACACCAACATATGCAAAACTTCATATGAGCTATGTAGAAAGGGCCATTAAAAATTCGCAGTGGCTACGTGTCCGCTCATCCATTACAAAGCTCAGCACAGCTTCCCAAATCCACGTCACGATTAGTCCCCTTTCAAATCGTAGATTTTTCTGGATTTACTATTACTTCAAAAGTTACAAAAACACGTTTTTGATAAACTACCTAAAGGTAAGTAATATTATGGTAAAAACTTGTTTATTGTTTTTTACTGAAAGAAATATAATTGGGTTCACATAAGAAATATATGACCGGACGCGTAGCCTGGAAGCTGGGCGTCCGGTAACCAGACGTGTATAGCCACGGCCTAAAAAAATTATTGCCCGGTTTCTCTAATCACTTGTAGACCATTACAATGTATATATCATCACAACTAGGGTGAAATGCTATACTGAAAACTTCTATGTACGTACCGAGCCAAGGTTAGACTCCACAATTCATCAAAGACAGTCAGTTGATGAGGTTGGTAGTACTCAAGGTAGCTATCAATCCTACGGTCGGCTTTTCCCACTCTGATCGCACGCAATTTCTTCTCTGCTACTTCCTTGAATTCTTTAATGAACACAATGCATAATGAGCAGCATGAATAACGCAAAGCATACACACAATTGCTCGGAGAGCAGCGATGTTTGATGAATGATAAATATTATATAACATGTAAAGCTGTAGCATATAGTTTATATAATTTATTTGGTGTGTGCGTCTGTTTAGTAGTAGACACCCGAGCGATACACTCTCAGGAATTATAAACATATGTAGAATTAAGGCATACCTTCGTCATACGGTAATGGAAGCGACTTTAACAACCGCACGTCCCACCAGTCCGAATAACTGAAAAGAAAATGCCCAAATCCAATATTTGTGCTGATAACTAAATCAAAATAATGTTTTCCGAGAAATAAACAGCAGATATCACGACCAACATCTTGACAACAGCGCGACATCTCAGCTTTAGTAGCCTGTCCGTCCGAGTGCATCCCAAGCACCCACCTGCGTCTGTGACACTGCGTGATCCCCATAGCCTCTGGGTGGTGTAGATAATATTCTGTCGGTAGATCCCATAAGTTGGGCTTGCCTTTCTCTGGCCTGTACACGCCCAGAAACAGGTTGATAGCACTTTGCTTGTCAGCATCTGCAGATATATAGGCAGCGCGCGGTCTACGACAAATCGGGAGGATAGGTGCGCGTTTATATTTTCACTGACAGATTCTCCCAGGAGCCCATTAGCAAACGTCGTATCTGTAGACAGTTTAAACATGTGCTTCTGTGCGCAGTTAGAGCTCATTTCGACAGAATCAAGCAACATGTCTCCTTCTCCCACTGATATTTCATGACACACCGTCATTTACACGATCCAAGGTCTGCCAGTTGTGCTAGTAAACACGTGAATCTTCAAGTATAATAGTAATCGATTTTTGTTCCCATTACTTTGATGTTGGTTTGTGGCATATTCGCAACCGAGTGCAAAAATTATCTAGCAGCATTATATAAACATTTCTGAACGTCAATACACGTGTTCTTTTATATATTTGAACAAAATTGTAGGCGTGCACACACACTCATTCTGTATACTAGTGTAACTATAGTCAACATTAGTTTATTTCGCAATTCATCAGCAAACGGAGATCACCACGAAATACTGTGCACGAAGACAGGTAGAAACCTGAGAAGGTGTTGCTGTAGTATCTGGAGAGGGTCTGCATGATGTCTCGTGACTGAGACGTGATCCAGGGAGACGCCTTCCTGTACGTCTGTATGCGGCGAACCAGCTGCGAGCCACCGTACTGCAGTGCGAGCGTATCACCCTGGTCCTCATACAGCCACTCCAACATCCTGAAACACGTTGCTGAGCTGACAAATCAGAGACTAGGACAGTGCTGTTGCCGGCACTGGTGATGACCAATATAAAGTAATTATTTAAATATTATAATTAATAATTAATAATTAATAATAAAATAATTAATTTATTATAATAATAAAATAACTGAAATAAACAGAAGTGAAATAAGTATTGTGTAAGAAATGGTTGCGATGGCGGTGGTAACAGCTGCAGTGTCGTGGCAGTGGTGTTGAGGGTGGTTGTTGGAGCGGCTCCAGCAACGGCGATGTTGTTAGTGACGACGTTGTGAATTGGGTGCGACTAGTGTCCCTTTACATTGAGAGTCCCTTTACTCTGTATAAAGGGACTCTAGTCTAGGTGCGACTAATTCAATGTGAATATCAATGAAATGTGAAAGGGCTTGTTACCTGACGACATCCGTTTCGAATTGTAGTTTGGGGGTCTCAATCACTCCCATAGCATACAGCTAAAATATACGAAAAACAGGCAAACATGGAGTAAAGCCAGTTTCCATGCATCCCGCTTATTGTGATATCTGCAGTTATAGCACTAACTATTCTCACAAGTGTAAATCATTGATACTGAATTGCATTCTGGGGACATGTTGAGACGACGGCACAAATGCTTTAAAATTATCGTGGGTGATGACGCAACAACTAGATCTAAGCGAACGACGATTCATTGCCGTAAACGCGGGATTGTCCGTCGTCCGTGCGCGCAGCCGGTACCTGATGAGCGAGAGCATACTTCCCGAGGACGAACTGGGCCGTGTTGGTGCGGTCGAGGCAGTCAACGCAGTTCGTGCGCACCACGCCCGTCTGCTTAACACAGGACTTGCCGTCCCCCAGCGTACTGCTGACACCAGCCGACCTGAAACCAACAGCGGTGATCAGCGTTGCGAGATTGGCTGCTCGCTGATCGTCGTTTTACTCACCGGTGCATCGGAAAATCATGCCTGGTCGTAAGCTATGGTTTTAGGTGCCTACCCGAGTTAGCCATAGCTTTGTTTACCTAGGAGGCAATGCTTTTTTTCAAATTAGACATAGTATTGTTAAACGTCTTCTCGGATGATTCAGGCACACTAGACTATATCACGCAGCCTCCCACTTTGTTCGAGTGAGCACTCTGCATGCGTGGTAAAAAATACACGGGAGCGATGAGCGATTTGCTCTTCAAACCTCCGAAATCGCTCCCCTGAGGCTCAAAATAGCTTCCGTAAAATTTTTGACGAGAGCTATCTTTTCCACAGACTTTTGAAAAAGAGCTCCCGTGGAAAAAAAAGAAATTTTTCCCTCTGATGCGTGGCTCATACAGACTGCGTGCCCTGCGTTAGGGACATCGGGTACCTGTAGTTGGAGAGCTCGTTAATGTACAGTCGCTGCCTGTTCTGAAAGAAGCCAGTCTTCTGCAGACACATCTCCGCGATCTCCGCTAGTCGCGTCATCACGTCGATGTTCTTGCTGGCAAAGGAAAAATGGACACGCAACGTACGAAGCAGCAGCAGAACGACTACTATAACAGGGTCTCCAACCCTGTGAACTCCAAATGCGGAATGTTCCCGCGGCGATCGGTAAAAAGCCAGACATCTCTAGGTACTAGAATGCGGAATATAACCTTGCCGCTGCGAAATGCAGAAATTAAGCCTAGAAATCGTACAGATTCCGCAGAATGCGGAATGGTTGGAGACCCTGCTATAATCAGCTGTTGGCATCTAAGTTGGCTCATGTATGCAGTGCCTATAAAACCACAAGTAAGTATATCATCAATATTCGTGAAAGCATACGTCTACAGCGAACTAAGCCCGCCCGCGTGGACCCCAGTTTTAGTCGAGTTGTGCTCTAGTGTCTATGCCCCTGTGGCCCTGAGTATTACGTAAAACGCTTCCACACCTCTTGCTGACCCTTGCCATGTCAAAGCCGACATACTGCAGTGAGTGCTGTGAGGGCAGAAACTGGTTGAGGTAGCTGAGAGTAGAGACTATCTCCTGCTGAAGAATGCTCTCATGTCTTCTCTTCTCCTTTTTCTGCACAATGAAGAGACTGCTCAAGTATTCTGCGCAAATATTGCGAGAATATTTACGTTGGCAATGGCAAGGACATGTATTGGGAATGTTGATGGCAATGGCAAAGACAGGTAATGGGAATGTTGATGGCATTGGCAAGAGCATGTATTGGGAATGTTGATGGCAATGGCATACACATGTATTGGGTATGTCAATGGTAATGGCAAAGACATGTAATTGGAATGTCGATGGTAATGGCACAGACATGTATTGGAAACGTTGATGGCAATGGCAAAGACATGTATTGAGAATGCTGATGACAATGGCAAGGACATGTATTTGGAATGCTGATGAAAATGGCATTGGTGATTGCATTGATGTGACAATTGCAATAGTGATGACGATGGCAATATTGACTGACAAGCACATGAATAATGATGGTGCATAACGCGTGCATGCGTGCAGCCACAAAGATTTTGATGAAGATTAATCACAAACTATTTTCCTACCTTGACAAGATTGAATACAATCACAGGTGAGCCGTATCTTTTCAGGAGGCTGTTGAAATGTTTACCGGCAGAGCTCAAGTATGGATCGACAAGGTCCACTGAAGGAGAACATACAGCAAAATATAGTAGCAATACTATAAGTACAACAAACATATTAGTAATCACTCACAAATGAAATAAAACATACTGAACATTTCCACAATCAAAGCTGCGTTAGCTATGCTAAAACGAACACCTGTCAAAAACGAGACTTTTAGCATTTCCCTCAATCAGCAGTTACACAGTAAAACAAATTCCATGGGATGAATACTCGTCTACAAACAACACTTTTGTCATTGCTCTTACAGTGATCCTCATATACAACCTTGCCTGTATTTCAGGACAAGCACGGGGACAACACACAGCTCTATTCATAACATTTTTTCACGCTGTCCCGAGCGCTGCTCGAACTGGATGCATTGCGGACGCTCCCCACAAACACCTACACGTGATGGGAGGTTTCGGCACCATGTTGGTGATGTCCTGCGACCAGAAAGCCGGGATGGAGCCCCGCAGCTGCGTGTATGACGTGAAGTGACCGTCGTGGAAAGACTGCACCGACGCGTCGTGCAGAATCTGCTCTGTCTCGACGTCGTTGGCCACCTCACCCTACACAGACATCAAACGACCCATCGCTGTGAGACCAATTGGCCTTTTCACAAATAAAAAAAATCTTTGCCTTCGAACACCATCTTTTGCAAATATAACCACTTCTCACTAAAGAATCGTCACAGTGGTGTCAATTGTACACATACGCACGCACGCACGCACGCACGCACGCACGCACGCACATAACTTATAGCCTGCAATTTATTTTAGGAGGGTCTTAGAATAAGTCTAACTCACAGAGCCATTAGTTCCACGTTTGAGAAATCTTGTTCCGGCAAATCTATTGGACCTTCTAGCGATGAGGGTCAGATACAAGTGTCTTCCAAAAACATTGACCACTATTTCAGATGTTAAGGTATTAAAACATCATGGGATAAGTTAACCGAAATAGAGTGGACGTATTGATATATATATATATGTGTGTGTGTGTGTGTGTGTGTGTGTGTATGTGTATTAGGGATGTACTATCGTAAAAATAAGACATTGTAGCGCCATCTATTGGGTGGAAATATTTATAACCACTAATTGTAAGCACTGTAATTGACACTGGAATATTGGCCTGAAGTACATAATGGTCAAGTAACAAGTATGCAAATAAACATGCTTAATAACACTATTCCGCATACGTTAAGCAAGAGCATATAGGTAGTTATCCATATTTCATAAACTATCTGTTGGTATTTACACTCACTAGCAAGAAATGCAATGAATCTTTACGAGACTTGCACTTCGAAATATGACTTCCTATCATGTTCTTGTTCTCCTCCTATTTTATCAAAGTAAAAACTGCAACAACTAATAATATCTTGCCTCTTTACATTTCCAATATTACCAACAACAGCATACACAAGCATAAGGATACTTGATTGGCCGACGAAACCATGGATGAGGTGCAGCACCCAATCGTAATGCACCTTGTGCTCAAACTCCTCCAGTAAAAATGAATTCCACACGTACTTATAGGATGGAGAGTTCTTGACACCGTATACTAAGTCCGTGGCTGCAAGCAAAGAAGCATTAGAGCAACATTATGCCGAAACTATCATTAATTATATTTAGAAATATTCTCGTTGATCATCGTGTGGGATCCATATCTAAATCTATATCTACACATCCAGTGAGTGTTACCTGCCCGAATGATTGTAAGCTAATAAGACTTCTCTACTCTGCACAAAGCCAATCATCACAAGATTTACCATCACGATTATGATACCTAAAATAAAAAAGCGGAGTAATGGATAAAAAACATGGCGTAGGTTCAATACATAGGATGCCGCGAGCCTGAACATATCCATCCAGCAATGATAGGAAGGACGGCAGCACATCTAAGGGCGCGTTTGTTTGGTCGGATCACTTGATCTCGATCCACCAAACCTGCTAGCAAGGTGGATTCGAACGGGATCCAATATGGCGGCCCGCACCTCAGCCAATCACAGCTTATTCTTTGTTATGAACCATCCCATGATAGGTACCAGCAAAACGTGAACTGGTGAAAGTGAGTTTGCGTTTGTTTGGTCGGATCAGGATCACTAGACCGAATAATTCTGTCCCATATAACCTTTTTTATATTTTGGTGAGGGTTATTGGGACAGAACGGGGTGCATTGAAATTTCGTGAGATCGCATGCAAAATGCATGCGCTGCTAATGTGGCCCGTACGCCGCTATTGGCGCGAAAAAAACCCTACCGCCTCCCTTCTACATGGCTTTACCTTGCTACTGATATGTGTATACATTCACTTCAATTGTTACTCACTTCTTAAAAGATTGTTTTTCAGAAACCCCGCTTCATTTCACTTTAATAAATTACATTCACCATTTACAAACAATCAGACCAATCAGAGCGAGTCTTACAATAGCCTGGTTCTCGCTTGTATCTGTGGCGCTGCAGGAGGGCTGATAGACTCGCTCTGATTGGTCTGATTGTTTGTAAATGGCGAATGTAATTACTAAAGTGAAATGAAGCGGGGTTTCTGAAAAACAATCTTTTAAGACGTGAATAACGATGGAAGTGAATGTATACACATATCAGTAGCAAGCTAAAGCCATGCAGAAGGGTACGGTAGGTTTTTTTTGCGCCAATAGCGGCGTACGGGCCGCATTAGCAGCGCATGCATTTTGCATGCGATCTCACGAAATTTCAATGCACCCCGTTCTGTCCCAATAACCCTCACCAAAATATAAAAAAGATTATATGAGACAAAATTATTCGGTCTACAGGATCACATGATCGCGATCAGACGAATTCGTCCCAAACAAGCGCGCCCTAAAAATAACACGCCGGCTTCATTACCCTCCGCCTTGTCATTCCCCTCGATGAAGTTGGTAGCCTCCTCCAGTTCTCCCTGCGCCAGGTGTATGGCGTCGGCTGGGAGGGAAGAGGCTTGAGGGGCCAGGCGATCCGTGTCTCGTGGAGGTGTGCAGTTGTACTGCAGGCTGTGCGTGAGGTCGTAGCTGTAACTGCATGATGTTATAAATGACAACGTCAGTGAATTCATCACGTCATATTATCATGTATGGATGGTTAGATGATAAAGACACATACTTATAGAAAAATAGTTCAATTGAAATGTACATATATATATTTAATAAACATAAATAAAGCAACCCATTTTATTCAAAACTACCTAAAGTAGAAGTTGCTTGATAGATCCACAGTTTGAAATGTCTTCGAATATCTGAAACGTGTGCAAAATCTTTAATTAATACTCGTAGTTATTCTGTTTGACAGATGCAATCACATAAAATAATCAATTATCATGAAGTTAAAATGCTCATACTTTTAAAGTTGCTTAACCTCACAGCTAAATGCATATATAGACCTACTGTGAGCTCGTCTATGTTGCAAAAATTCACTAGAACTCATTTCATTTGTATTGCTACTTTCATAACATTTCTTCTCAAAATCTAAACGAAGTTACTTCTCTTACGAAAGTAGCACCACAGTGATGTTTACATCGATAAGCGATCGTTAATAGTTCTTTTCTATGATAAAACAAGTTAAAATTCATTATTATATGTTTATTCAGTACAAAATTTTGAAATTTGTTTAAATCATATATCGTTATCTACATTACATATGCAATCAGGAAACAAATATAGTGTTTTCATTCCAGGAACTATTTGCGCTATGGCATAAGGTTACTATTTTGAGTTATCTGGCACTTCGTACAAATTAACTTGCGTCTGACGTAAGTTTTCAAAATAGTCAACTTCCGAGCACATTTCTGGCTCAATGAGAACATTTCGTGATGTTCTCATAGTAGGTCTATATAGGCTTTTCTTGGGAGGTCTATCAATTTTAAATGACTTTACTAAGACACACTGTAAGCATAGTTGATGGAGGGAGGCTGGGTACCTCGACTCTTCAGGATCTGTCTGTCGAACCGATTCATTGGGAATATAGATCATGGACGTGTCTTCTATCTTGTACACTGTGTGATGACCAATGATTCCCACCTTTCGTCGTTTTGTGATCAAGATGATGTAATAGCCTTCGAGAAACTTCACGAAACCTAGAGAAATAAAATGGCCTTAAGCTTAAGGTTTTGTTCTCTGTGTACGAGTAGGTGTTTAAGTAGCTCGTTAGGTAGGAATCAGTGACATCACATGGAAAACCATGAAACTGTGTAGATAGCCATCGCAGAAAAATATGGCAAATCATGCACCTTGCTGTTAATGGGCTAACAATATTTATTACATCTAACATGCATAGTAAGCTACTTTTGAACTGTTGCATAGAGGATAACTAACTTTGCCACAAACAGTAATTGAATGCTTCAAGCCAGCGTAGCATTGTTTTTGCCCACCAGTGTTTTACAAATTTGACATTATTATTTTACCACAGAAATCTCATAATCCTACATCCATATGGAAAATTCCTAATTAACAACTAATTGGAAAGGTGGAGCATCACAGCATTCATTATACTTACCAACGATACCAAAAGCACAGCAGGCAACACAGAGACCTGAACTCGCAGCCGTCTGTTTCTGTCCTGGTTTCGTTTGGTTACCAACATCAATCATGAGTAGCAAGTCACCTATCTCATCTTTATTGTAAACTGCCTGCAGACAGGGGAGGGCAGAATTTTTTTTTATGTTCTCTCACCCTAGTTCACTTTCTATCTCTGTCTCTTTTCCTTTCATGCACCCATTATTTACCACTCTCTCTCCCTCTGTCGGTCTCTGTCTCTGTCTCTGTCTCTGTCTCTGTCTCTGTCTCTGTCTCTGTCTCTGTCTCTGTCTCTGTCTCTGTCTCTGTCTCTGTCTCTGTCTCTGTCTCTGTCTCTGTCTCTGTCCATGTCTCTGTCTCTGTCTCTGTCTCTGTCTCTGTCTCTGTCTCTGTCTCTGTCTCTCTCTCTCTCTCTGTCTCTGTCTCTGTCTCTGTCTCTGTCTCTGTCTCTGTCTCTGTCTCTGTCTCTGTCTCTGTCTCTGT